TAAAACAGGGAGACACAATATTCTACTATCTTTATTATAGCATTTGATCACTTCTCCATGATGTTGAATAGTTTACAAGAAAGGTTGCCTTGCACAAGATTCTCCTATAAAACTAAATTGGTGATATCTCATTTAGCCTATGTTGATGATGTAGTACTATTTTGTAATGCTAGAAAATTATCTATCAGAAAGATTATGGGAACGTTAAAGGAATTTGAGGAATGTTCAGGTATTGAGTTTAATAAGAGCAAATTTAACTTCTTTTTGAGGAAAAGAGTTCTCGTGAATCTGAAAGTTTGGATCATTGAATTCACCGATTTTATTTCTTTGAACTACCATTTCATTATCTTGGCATCAAGCTTATGAAGGGCATGAAAAAATTTAATCATTTTCAGGAGGTGGTGGATACATTCAGAGATCACATTAATTGTTGGGCTAACTCTTTTTTATCATTTGTGGGAAAAATTATTCTCATAAAAATATAAAAAATGTCTTGAACTCTATCACACTCTAAACTCTAAAAGTATTAAGGAAGATAAGGAATACAAAAGTTCAGTTGGAGAGGTTATTCAACAAGTTCCTTTGGCCTGGTTTCTTCCAAAATATTCACCGTACTAGTTGGAAAAAGATGTGTAAACCAATTGAAGCAGATGGACTTGGATTTCATGACCTTAGTACTTTATCTCACATCAATTATATAAAACTTTGGATCAAATTCAGATCTCAAGAATCTAGTTCGACCAAATTTAAATGGAGAACTAATGTGCATCCACTCATATTACTCTGGTATGTTCCAAATCGGATGATTCGTTGTTTTGCAAAGGTATGTTGAAGATTAGAGAAGATTCTGAGGATATGTTCATATGGAAGTTAGGGGTTGGCAAGATTATTTTTTGGTGGGACAACTGGAGCATTGATAGGGTAGATTATCATCAGTTGTAGGTTAATGAATGCTTCAATGGGACTCAGTGGAAGAAGGATTTACTGATTAGTATGCTACCTAAGAAAATAGTTAATTCCTTAATTACTATCCCTATTATACCTAATATAAAGGATAAAGTATTATTAAGCCTCCTTTGAATTGTTCTATTGCTCAAACATTTGCTAAGAAGATTACACATTTTCCTGGCGTGAATTGGCTAAGCTGATTTGGAATGGTTATTTGTCTCCATCTATAGCCTTTTTCTTTTGGTGGCTTTTTTATAAACTTCTACCAGTTGATGGCATCCTGAAACTCAAAGGTTTAAGAGTTTCCTCTTGGCGTTTTTATGTAAGGAGGAAGATTTTGCTAACCATATTTTCTTCTCTTGTGATTACACTGTACAAATATGGAAATGGGTGGGTAACTTCTTTAGTGTTGATTGTAGTGAAGATGGCTTCATTGGTATTGATCATTATAGACAGAGTTGGTAGCATAAAATATAGAATGACATGCATTTACTTAAATTCATGTATTTTATTGTATTGTGGTTCATTTAGATGGCGAGAAACGAGGCAAAACATGAAGATAGCTTGATGGATACTCGGGTGATTGTGCACAATATTCTAACATATGTTACTAAGGTTCTAATGTTTGCAAAGCGAACTATTGATTCCTTTAGTGGGATGGAGATGGTGTTGCAAGAGTTTAAGCTTTCAATTAGAAGCTCAAGAAAATGGAAATTACAACTAATTTTGTGGAAGAGACCCAATGATTACTAGATTAAGGCTAATATCAATGGTAGTTGGAACTGTGAAGGTGTTGGTCTTGGGGGTATTTTCCGAAATCAAAATGGTTTATGCATGTTGTATTTCAATTCACGCCATGTGACAAATGATTGTTTGGAGGCTAAAGCATGGGTTGGGCCGTTTGCTCTTAAGATTGCTGTCAAAATGCAACAGAAACATATTATATGCGAGATTGACTCCTTGTTACTTGTGTAGATATTTAAGGGTAACATTGAAGCACCTTGGTCCTTAGCAATTGTCAAGAACAGAATTACATGTTGCACTTGTTATCTCTCTGTGCTCTGGACCCATATTCACCGTGAAGGCAGCAAAGGGGTGGATTGGCTTGCTAAAAATGGAGCTAAGGGCAATTTGATATTTGATTGTACTCCTCCTTATTTGGATTTGATTTAGAATGAGGATTTACTTGGTATGCCTTATGCTAGATATTAAATAAGTTTCCCCTTTGTATCTTTGGGCATTATTAACAAAGATTATACTTTTATTTCCAAAATGCATACACAAACACACATAAAATCCATTCATTTTATTAAGATTAATTTGAATTTTTATTCAATATATCACACTTAATTCTTTTTTATTATAACAAAATAGTAATCTTTTTTCTATCCCATGTACCCTCGACGGCAAGTAAACTAACTAGTCACCATGATAGCTTTCTTAGAATGGCACTAAGCAGGAGCGATAGCATATGAAGAAGAAGAAGAGTTCATGAGATATGTAGATTTATTAAATAAACTCATTGATTTACTAAATGCAATATTTAAAACAAAAGGCAAGAAAAAATGGAATTTAGGTTTATGAAGAGTTTAGAAGACTCATTTACATGAATATCACACAATTCTTATATATTTACATATCTGGTACCTAAGCTTTAATATTTAAGTACATAGCACTCAAGACCTCACATCAAAAATACCGCTATCACTAACTATAAAAGTGCAATACACATTTTCATGCATGAGTTTTTAATACGAAGCTGTCATAAATATAAATATCAGATTTTAGGTGTTAGACATATAAATGCATTCTCATTGTGTGATATGTATTCAAATTTCCTAATTTATACAGATCATTATGATCATTTGATAGAGTTTATACATGATTTGTGCCGGAAGATTTATGGTGGAAGAGTGATTATTTAGCGTCATAGTGTTGAATGAAAGTATGGCATACACATAGAATCCATCGAACGACGCGGAAATGTTCCTTCAATCAAACAACAATTGTGTAAATATTTGATTGCCATTGTTATGTTGGATTTGAGTGTTATTGCCCTAGTCAGATTCGTCTCGTCGAGATACTCGATTCCATTATAAGCTGGTTAGATTTGGTGTTCATTTGACCTTGCAATCGAGCACTGGAAGCTTCTGAATTTGGCTTAATGGGTTGATCTGAAGTCGACCTGACTTCAATTTGAACAATTTTGGCATCATTCGGTCTGTCTCGTCGAGCCGACCAATTTGACTATTATAACTTTGTTGAGATTAGAGTTCTGAATGATTTTTAACTGGAACTTGATATTTCTTATGTTAAAAAATACTTTCAGATCCGTGTTAATTGTATCAAAATTGATGACATGATAAACCCTACCTAAATTACAAATAAATCCCACCACCAAACAACTCCCAAGGATCTTGTATGTGCCATTACTATACTTTAAATCTACAAGCATATATATGGCACATGACAATTATCTCCTCCTAACATAATTAATGTGACACAGATTTTTGCCAATGTTGTCCCATCTGAGGCTACATTCTTTGGCCTCATGTAACAAAACATTTAACAAATCCCTCCTTCCACTCCTCATTTCACACATCAATCAAATTTGAATAGAAAAATAATGATATTTTATATGCTATGGGAAGGCATCCTATCAACTACTTTTAGCTTACTATGAGGGAATAATTTCTCCCTGGCTCCCATCCCTAGGGGAATGTTTTATTGGGCCCAACACTACTTTATTTGAGCATGAGATAATGGATGGGGAGGTAGAGAAGGAATTATTACTTGAATATTTTATGATTTTTTTTTGGGCTAGCTTATAAGGATATGAATATCATTTCAAATAAATAATATACCATTTTACTCATTAATCATAGTTAAAAAGATTTAGACTAAATAGCTTAACTCCTTTTTAATTTTAAGATATATTTATATATATAGAGAGAGAGAGAGACGTGTGCAACTGGTGGTCTGTTAGTTGGCTGCTTGGCGTAAGTCCTCTCTGTCTCGAGCTCAAATCCATCTGGCTCGAACATATATATATA